CATAAAATGCGTTGCACAAATTCGAACATCTGGGTTTTGCTGTTCTGTTGTAAATAAATCTTAACCAATGATTCCTAATTGCATCTACTTCCGGAAGGCCAAATAAAGTGCTTTTGCTTTCGCACTGAAACGCACAGCGTCTCCCTGACATGGCTGCATCAACACTACTGCTGTTCCTGAAACCACGCCTTCTTTCTTTGCTTGCACATTGGGTGGCATTATACTAATATTTCCACATAGTGACGTAGACATGTGGGGGCGTGATAGAATGAGCCGTTTTAGGTAGGCGTGGTTGACTCTTAACTTTTATAAAGAATATCTCTTTGGATTTGAGACTTAAGTCTTTGCAACTTTACAGATCTTCTTTATGCACCAAGAGCTTGTAACACTCCAAAGAGAAAGGAAAACTTGAAATTGCATCATATGACCCCTTTAAAGCAATAAGCCCCAAGAACCACGGCTTCACGGGGCTTATTACTTTTATAAAACAGTTATTCCATATACGTAGTAAGGTTTCACAGAATAAAACAGAGCAAATAAAGTGTAATGATATAAATAAAAACAGTATTCTTCCGCCAAACAATGTAGTTCCTCAGAAACAGTTGTTGTTCCAACAAAGTGGTTGCCGAGCAACACACAGAAATAAACAAAGGTGTATGTTTGTAGTGTAATTTATGACAGCTTCGAACGCAGCTCAACCAATCAGAATCAAGGACCGGAACTATCCGTTTTATAATTCCTAATATTTCCTATGTTTTACACAAATATGTCACTTCAAATACCATTCAAAAACATTTGAAAAAGATTTTATAAATATTACTTGTGTTCACCAAGGCTGTATATATTTGATCAAAAACACAGTAAAAACAGTAATATTATGAAATATGTTTACAATTTAAAACAACTGTTTTCTATTTTAAGATATATAAAAATGTAATTTATTCCTGTGATGAAAAAGCTGAGTTTTCAGCAGCCATTACTCCAGTGTCTTCAGTGTCACATGATTCTTCAGAAATCAATCTAATGTGCTGATTTGCTGCTCCAAAAAAAATTTGCTGTTTTGTTCAGGATTTTTTTGATGAATAGAAAGTTCAAAAGAAAAAAACATTTATAAATGTCTTTACTGTTACTTTTGAATTTAATGCATCCTTGTTGAATAAAAGTATCAGTTTCTTTCTAAAAAAAATCCATCCATACATACTATATTCATACATACATACATACTATCCATACAATCCAAACTTTTGAATGGTACTGTAGGTCAATGGCAATAGCATTTAAACATTCAATTCTCTGCCATGACTAACTCTTTTAACCGTTTATTCTTTCCTGAAGGGATAATGAGAACTTGTGGAGAGAACTGGACTCATTAAGACAGAACTATCAGCAGCAGCACAAAATCATACGCAAGGTAAATAAAAAACACATTTGAAAACTATTTAAATAATAACAATGTACTTTATGTATATAATATATATATATATATATATATACTGTGTGTAACTCTCCTATCCTGTCACTCTTTCAGATGATAAAGTTCATCATCAACATCGTTCAGTCAAATGGGATAAAAGGTTGCAAAAGAAGACTAAGTTTATTCACTTAAAGTACACAAAATGTCTTCATAGTCAGTGAGAAATGTGATTATTTGCAATTTCAGCTATCTCTTCTCACATTACATTTCCTTTCTCCACCCTAACAGCCCCATGATTGACAATTCTGGGGAGTTTCAGTCCGTGCCGAAATACACCCGTTCCTTCAGTGTGAATCCCACCCTTACCACTTCCCCCCCTACAAGAGAAGAGATCCCTTCGTTGCAAGAGGTGCATGCTAAAATCTTTGATCTAATTTATTTTTCTAAGTTTGAATTCTTGACTCTCTTCACCTAACACAATGCTGATTAGTTATAAAAGCAGCTTGATTTCTGTCATATTGAAAGTAAGTGACATCTCTGTGGGTTTCTGGGCAGCTGGATGTGTCACCAGCTGACGTGTACTCAAATGGCATGATCATCTCTGACATCACCCACTTGCTGGATCCCACACCTGAGCCTGACAGGTTAGAGAGCAGCAGTGCATCTGTAGTCTTCATCCTCTACCTCTTGTATTTTGTATAATTAGAATCTTCTGAGGTTTTTAAACATACTCCTTTACTGGGTAAAATAAAAAAGGAACTGAAAGTACTTTTCAGGGTTTTACAGTCTATTTTCCACTTTCATTTGTGTTTTTGGTTTTACAAAGAGCCAGTGACAGAAACCCTTCCCGCAACTCACACCACATTTTTATCTCCCGCCTCCCCGACTCTGCCCTCCATGGAGCTGGAGTTGACTTTGCTGGATGACCCAGCTGCCCAGGAGTCTGAGGAAATACCCTCAGAAAGGTTAGCTAGCAAACTCATCATGTGTACCATTTATTTTATAATTATAACAGATCCCTGTTCTGTTTTATCAGTAACTCTATTTTCATAGGGCTTCACAACTGAGGGGAAAATCTAATTGCGATTTTTCTGATAACATTTTTTAAATTGTGATTTAAAATGCAGTTTGCCAGATTTGTTGTGCTTATTTTTAGGGCTGATCAATTTTTCACAGGTACACACATATACGCCCATGCTTCCCTCTCACACACCGTCCCGAACCCACACATGAATTCAGAACTTACACTTCTGGTTTGTTCACTATATTGTGTTTGTGCAGTTACACAGCAGCAGCAGAGCCTGCAACAAAATGCAGACCTGGAGCAGGAGCGCTACGATAGTGGAGAGTATTCGGATATCTTACCATCCCTTCTGCAACTGGCGCAGGAATAATTTCTGATGAAGATCAGTTATTTTGCTGTACCTGATTGTTATATAATGTCTAACTAAAGGCTAGAATATATGTTTATTGCTTAAATATATCACTATAGCATATTTTAGGTTTCTTATAACAATGTGTTTTTATGTAAAAGCAAAATAAAATGTTCTAAAAAATTGTAATGCCTATTTTCTTTCATACACAGATGTAAAAAAAAAAAAAAAAAAAAAATATATATATATAATTCATAATCTGTTTATTTAACAGTTCATCTTCTTTAGTAATACATTTCTCCGCTGAAATGTAAAGATATGGTCGCCAACTATATGATAGCACACTAGTTTTGAGACACAAGATTGTTTAGAATAATTTCTGATGAAGATCAGTTATTTTGCTGTACCTGATTGTTATATAATGTCTAACTAAAGGCTAGAATATATGTTTATTGCTTAAATATATCACTATAGCATATTTTAGGTTTCTTATAACAATATGTGTTTTTATGTAAAAGCAAAATAAAATGTTCTAAAAAATTGTAATGCCTATTTTCTTTCATACACAAATGTAGCATTTAGTTCTTTTCATAACAGGCAATCAGCAAAATGTGGCTTCTCTTGAACAGGAAATCTCACACACATATGCCAGCCCACACAGAGAGCAGATACATTTAGGCTAGAAAAGGGAAGACTGAAACAAACCTAAAACAACAAGTGCACTATGTGACCTGTCCAAAATGATATTATTTTTAGTCAGTCTTTTCCTTGGGAACATTCCCTCATTTGCATTTTCAGCATCCCAGCCAAGTGAGTATTTTACAACTACACCATTTTGAAATGAAATGTATTTTTTTTCCTTATTATTTTGGTTTTATATCATGTTGCCTATAATACCTAGTATTAAAAAACAAGGTTTACAGGATTAATTTCGAAACTAAAACAAAACAGTAGGGTTTGTTGGCTTTTGATTAATTTCTTCCCCTTTTTGTGGTTTTATATGCTCTCTAAAACTACGGAAGTATGTGGTTCTACAACAGTTAAGATGTTAAAATCAAATATGTTAACATATATAGGGGCTAAAAAGTCTGGCGGCAGAGATTGTTTCATCAGCAGAGGAGACCATTCCATACTCCTCACGAAACTGAAATTTTTCAGCAACCTGTCGCTGAAGAGCTGACAAATGTTCAGTTGCTTGCCTTCCAAAATGGCTGGCCTGTGGCCATGATTCACACACGCAACATGAGCTTACAACATTTTTGTTTCAGTTTTTCATACAATGACTAAATAAAAATATTTGAAGAATTCTTATGTAAGACTACAATTGAATTTTAATCAGAAGATGGTATAAAATAGTGTTTTTGACTGAAAACATACATATTTCCTGTATGTATATGTTTCTTTCCAGTCCTCACAGGCTGAGCATCCTCTACTGACAAACTACATGCATTACAAGCCGTCATTTATATATTATGTACATGAATTTAAATGTTAACTTTCTCTCTTCTTTACCCAGAAATAAACTGCCTTATCATAAATCTGGACTATGTTAATTGCACGTGGAGTGAGCACGAGCAAAATTACAGTTTCAAGAGCAAGTGCGTATGTTGAACAAAATAGAAAAACCTGCATTTTTTGATAAAAATTTCAGGACTGACATTAGCATGTGATTTCTCTTAGGTTTTCACATAACGAAATTCTGGATTGTCCTAAATATCTCAAGATTAAAGGTGTTAACGTGGGCTGCATTTTAACCTACAAAAACCCACCACGGTTTAATACTTTAAACACATGGCTGTACAGTGACAACGGCAGTTTGGTGACAGAGCAGGAACATAAAAACATGAAAGCATCTGGTATTAGAAATTATTCATATTATGACTTGATAATAATTATATGGAAATGACCGGCTGATGGATTGATACTTTATATAATGTGTTGCTAATCAGTGAAGCTTTACCCTCCATTCAACCTGTCTGTGGTGGAGAAAAAAGATGCTGGACTGTGGCTGTACTGGAATATTACAAGGAACGACGCCTGCATTGAGAGTGAAATTCGTCACAGGACAGACAACAATGCCTGGAAGGTATGAAATTAATTTTATAAAACTAAACTCTGACATTGTATAGTAATTTAATATGGCCTCTAATGGCTTACTGATTTATTATGAGAAGCATTTGCTGACATTGAAATCAACAGCATTTTAGCGATTTCCACATCAAAATAAATGGACAAAAGTGGGTTTATAGAAAGCATATCAAAGGCAACTAAAGTGTCTACTTTAAATAACTATTTCAAATAACTTTTGTGAAAATAAAATGTCAAAATATGGGTGAAATAATGTTCCATCGCCATTCAGTCTCAGATGTATTTATGTAAAAATTAAACAACATACTTATTCTGACATGCGCTTATTAAATATAAAAGAATAAGTGATCATACTAAATTGCATTATATGTTAAATTATTTAAAACTTCTTGCTGACAAATGGGTAATACCTACTTGTTTAAATGAGAGTGGCAAAGATTAGCAAAGATTTAAAATTACAATTAATAAAAAAAATGTATAAATTATTTAAAACTTCTTGCTGACAAATGGGTAATACCTACTTGTTTAAATGAGAGTGGCAAAGATTAGCAAAGACTTAAAATTACAATTAATAAAAAAAATGTAAATTATTTTTGTGTGTGTGTGTGTGTGAACCTTAAATGATGATTCTTGTTCTAAATATGCCTGACAAGTTTTTTGGTATTTACACTAGTATTGTCACACTGAATGATAGTCTTTTTTTTTTTTTTGCTCAGAAAAAGATGAAATTAAACAGAACACATTCTTTAATTCTTTCACATTCTCATTCTTTCGTAAAAGCCGTATTAAAAGCTTTTATTGTTTTGATGCTTGAAAAACCCTTTTCGTCTTTGACTCAGTTCCAAACGACACCAAAGCAACTATTGCCCTCTTTTGCCTTGTCCAAATACCCACACTTGCAGTCTTTGCACTTGACCACTTTTATGACGTATTTCCTGTATTTGGTCCAAGTGTTCAAGTGAGCATGGAGACCACAAGTGTGTGTAGAACTTGTCATTATCTGATGTGACGCACTTATAGTGTTGTAAAAATGCAAGTGTTTACAGAGATTTATTTTTATTTTGAATACTTTGCATTTAAAATCAACTTCTAAATGTCTCAGTAGTCCCTATAACAGATGACACAATTTAATTTTGTGGTGCTTCTAATTAAGTGATAAAAAGCAGTTGCAAATGTTGTACAAAATAAATATCACTACTACTCATTTGCACCAATAAAACCTGCAACTCTTTGTTTTACTACCAAATTATATGTAATATCTCATTTATTATTGATATTTAACATACACTGGAAAGGTTTCCATGACCTCTCGCGAGATCTCGGCGTTTTTAAGACCTGGGACAGTCTTGCGCACTTACTCCATGTCGTGAGCTGGCTCTCTTAAGTGGCCAAGACAGCAAGTGTGGGTATTTGGACAAGGGGTTTGAACTTATGTATCGATTGAGTAAATTATTCAGTGACTTGTAAGAAAATGTCACTTGTTTTTTTCCCTGTATTAATCGCTGTTGAAAAAGACAAGTCACTTGTCGCCACCTATCGGCTTAATTACGTAACATGCGAAGAGATACGTCCAAAAATAATAATAGAGCCAGCCATTTGCACTTAAAAAAAAAAAAAAAAAGACATTGTTACTATGCCATATGTTATATCTTGTTGGAACTCCTTATTAAATGGTAAAGTGATTTGCTGAGATAAAAGAGAAAATCCCAGTGCTTGACGACTAATCAATTTCGAGGACCGTAAGTTAATTGTTGTATAAATTGTCATTGTATGCTTCTCACCTTGTGGTCGTCTGAACACCAAACAACACAAAACGCGGCACAATTGACATCTCTCTTCCCTAGAACACCAATCCAGGCCACAGGACCTCCTTCAGTTGGCCTTTTCCCTCAAAAAAGCGGTATGAGTTCCAGGTCAGGGCTCGAATAGGGTATTCCTGCGGAGAGTCCATGTTTTGGAGCGACTGGAGTGAGCCTGTCTACTGGGGATCTTTAAAGGCCAACAATAACACAGGTAACTTATCTTATCTGTATTACAAGTCTCTCAGCGCTTTATCTGCCTACTAGTATGCTGCAAATGAAAAGGATGAAGAACTGCAGACAAACAGTCACAGTCACAAGCGCTTTATCGACGCCTCATCAGAACAGCCAATCAGAACAAGTTCTCTCTGCCTGTGCGTGCTCTCACACTGCAGCACATTGTATTTTCATGCTTTCCGTAATGCATCACCACAGACTGGATGCTTTTTTTATATGTTGCAAGTGAGGAATTTCCACAACCAGTTTCATGTTTGATGATTAATATACATGACGCACTGGTTGTACCAGGGCCTGTCCAAATATCCACACTTGCAGTCTTTGCACTTGACCACTTGTTGACTCATATGATGTACAGTGTAGTAGGGGTTGAACGACTTCTGATTTTTCTTCTTTGCGAGACAAACATTTTCTCCACAAAACTCAGTTCGCGCACGTGCAAAACGTGAAAGTCCTTCAAGGATTTCTTATCCTGTTGCGCCCTCTACAGGACCAGCGACTAGTCGACGTCAAGCTTAAAGCGTCATGGCAGAGCACTGAAGTCGACTAGTCGATTAGTCTGTGCAACCCCTACTGTGTAGTATTGTAAAAATTCAAGTTTTTTCATTGTTATTTGCACATTTTGATTTTCAATACTTAAAAATGTCAGTTCAGTTGAGCCTATGTAATTGTGATTAAGTGATAATGTTGCAAACCTTTTACAAAATACACATGAAAGATGATGGGATAGGCTACGCTTAGAGCCTCAAATACCGCTCAGAAGTCAGAAGGGCACTGAACACTGAAACTTGGACAGTCAAGTACAAAGTCTCAAGTGGCCAAGACTGCAAGTGTGGTATTGTTACAGGCCCACTGTCAGTTAAAGTCCGCGTGAACCGGAAGTTGCTGCCAACTTTATTTCAGTGTAGTGACGTATTTCCAGCTGAAACGGAATATTGAGGAGAGGGGCGTTGTTTTATGTTTGCGCTCCTCCTCTCTGTCTCTCACTCATATCAAACTAACGGTTGGAGGGGTGTGT